TGTGCCGCGGCACAGTGGTTGAAAAACACTGTTCTATAGCATGTAAAGAAGGATGTTGTACTTGTTTTAAATTAAAAATTAAAAAAAAATTAATAATAATAATAAAAAAGATTATGTGGAATAACCAAAACAGCTCTCGACCTGTCAAATGCAGATGTCAGCCGGACACTTCTGATAAAATAGAGGTGGATTAAATTTCCTGTTTCCAAAACAAAGGGGGTATTTTGAGATGCTTATCTAAACTTCTAAACTTCCTTCTGTTATTTTCCTGCTGTGGAGGCTTTTGTCTGCAACCAGGGGGGGGCCCAGAATGGTTTTTGAAGATTGCTGGAAAAAAACAGCTTCTTTCCAGGGTCCTCAGTTTATAGAGCAAGACAAATAAGGCCGGATGGAAAGGGGGCGGGGGGGAATCCTAAAATAAAAAAGAGAAGTCGCGGAGTGGCCTTTTAACGGGAGCCTTGGAAAAAATTCATCTTGGGCTGCATCTGATTTAAAAAATAAAAATAGCACCCTTTAGGTAAGAATGATTACCAGGTAGTCCTCGACCAAACGGACTACAAAATTTTCTGTTGCTAAGCGAGATCGTTGTTAAGTGAGGTTTGCCCCGTTTTATGCACTCTCTCACCAGAGTTGTTAAGTGAATGTTGTTAAGTTATGTTCCCCTTTTTCCCCCTTGAATTGTTCGCCGCCCTGAGTCCTCCCGGAGAAGGGCGGCATACAAATAATAAAATACCAAAATACCAAATACCAATCACTGCAGTCATTAAGCGAATCACATGGCTGTTGAGTGAATCTGGCTTCCCCATTGAGTTTGTGTGTCAGGTTTCCAAAGGAGATGATGCGAGCCCGGGGACACCGCGACCGTCGTAAATATGAGTCAGTTGCCAAGCATCCAAATTTTGACCGTGGGGGATGCTGAAACGGTCGTAAGTGTGAAAAATGGTCATAAGTCCCCTTTTTTTCAGTGCTGTTGTTCAGTCACTTGTGAGTCGAGAACAACTGCCTTTATATTTCTTTTATTTTCTCTTGGAGCTATTTTAATATTTTTCATTTTCATTTGAATAGATTTGCATTGTTATTTTTTCCCCCGGAGGTTATTTTGAGGTTTTTAATTTGAATATTTCGGCTTCAAACCAGGAGAACTGATTTCTTCCTTGTGCTTTTTTATTTTTTCCTGTTGCTTTCACCAACTTTTTCACAGAGTGCAACTTGCCTTCTCCCTTTTGGAAAAGGGCTAAAAAACAACCTTTGCTCAAGAGAATTTGGTTTTTCACACCTGTGGTTTATCCTTCCGGTTTTCCTGCTTGCAGTTTTCGCAACCTCACCCTGCCACGCATCATAACCCACGGTTGGAAGATGGCTTGTTTGAAACTAACTCTTAAGTAATGGCCAGCTGCACATTTCCGGCACATGTGAACTGATACTGTGGTTAGGAAAAGTGGGGGAAGACGGCTCCATGCAGCGATATAAGAAAGGCTCAAGCTTTGAAGATGNCCCAGAATTCCCCAGCCAGCGAATGCTGGCTGGGGAATTCTGGGAGTTGAAGTCCAGACATCTTCAAGTTGCCAAGGTTGAGAAACACTGCTCTGGATTGTTTTATCTGACCCCCCCCTGGAGAGATTTGATGGACAGGCAGCCTGAATCTGCATCAAGTCCGACTTTAAGACCCCTGAGCATTTTCTCAGAAGCCTTTTCCTCCTCTAGACCCAAACTCAACCTCGGCCCTGAAAACGGGGCCCTGAGTTCTAATCCTGACTCCCCTTCCCCCAAACAGTTTCCACCCCCCCAAACGCCCCCCCCCTCTTACCGCAAATCGTAGGAGGAGGCAGGATTTCCCCACTCCGGAATCTCCGATGAGCAGCAACTTAAATAAATAATCGCTGTCACGGAGGAAGCAAAAAAAAAGAGACAAGAAAGGCTCAGCAGTTTCAACGTGTGGAAGGCGGAGTCCTCGACTTACGACCATTTGTTTTACTAGCAGAACGCGGGCATCTGTATTTACGACGGTTGCAACGTCTGCGGCCTTCGAGTCAAAGCCAGACTCACTTAATGACCGTGGGTAAAAGAGTTGTAAGATCAACCACCTTGCTTAGCGGATAGACTGTGGTCGTACGTCGAGGACCACCTGTATTGCAAAGAGCCCCTGCCTTTATAATTTGAGGGGGTTTAAATTTTTTTGGCGACTGTCTCATCTGTTGCAGCCCAAAATCCAGGGTCCGGTTGGAAATGGCCAAATGAGAGGGGTACCCTAGAAATACAGGTAGCCCTGGACTTATGGCTGTCCGTTTAGTGACCGCTTCAGCATCCCCATGGTCATGTGACCAAAATTCAGACGCTTGGTAAGAAGCTCGTATTTATGAGGGTCGCGCGGGGGGAAGGTGTCACATGATCCACTTTTTGCGACCTTCGCGCGAGCAAAGTCAACGGGGAACTCAGATTCATTTAACAACCGTGATTCACTTAACAACCTTGGCAAGCAAGGTCCCAAAATGGGGCAAAACTCACTGAACAACTCTCTTAGCAACAGGCATTTTGAGCTCAAGTGCGTGGAGGGTACCTGTAAGGCCTTATTTATTATTTACTTTCAGTGGTTCCCAAAGTTGGCAACTTTAAGACTTGGGGACTTCAACTCCCAGAATTCTCCAGCCAGCTCTGCAGAGCTGGCTGGAGAATTCTGGGAGTTGAAGTCCACAAGTCTTAAAGTTGCCAACTTTG